GCTAGAACGAATAACAATATGGAATAATGGGTATTGACGTCATCAGAGCCTATTGTAGTAGAAAGTATTGTTAGGGGTTCGGGTTAGAACATGTTTGCAGGATCTTCAGAACACATGGAATTTACCACCGGTACACCAGCAATACAAAAGTACAACAGAATAAAATGTCTCACTCGCTTATTTCTTTCACTCTGTTATACGTGATTTTTCCTTGGCCCCTATAAAAGGCAGTAGACCCTTTAACATAAAGTTAAGCAAAAAAAGATCTCTTCTCACTTTTTTCCGATACGAAATTAACGAAAAATGGTGAATTTTTTCACAAAAATCCAATACATGCATACAACAAATAAACGTAATGATTGTTTTAAATAAATATATGTAATTATAGGTTGAGTTTTTGTGAATGTTTGCTACGTTTAATTTTTAAATTGCGATTAAAATTTAATGGTCATAACCCCAATGGGTTTCAAGGTCTCGATCGGATACACAAAGCTCCGACTTTCTAGTTGATTCAAAAAAAGACTTATAAAATTAATAATGTTTTTGTCTATGTTGCATGTATGAAAGTTTTAATGAAATACATCTGGATGCTACATTTGTATGTTTGAAGTAAAAAGTGCAAATTATCCGGGCCTTTAATATACAGAGTGTATAATTTAAAAAATTATACGTTTGCTCTTAAATGTGAGTTATTTCTATAGATCTACCCCTTTTTGACAAAATGCAACTAAAACTCTTGACGTCGTTCGCCCCTTTGTTCTTTATCCTCATAGTCTATAATAATCAAATTAATTCAACTAAATATTTGAAAGATTTTGTTTTCGCCTTTACTATGTTGAAAATCTTTAATTCAAGACATTAGTTGAATTAGTTGAATAAAAAAATCAAATAAAAAGTTTTCTCTCTGGTAGAAACTTGCAAATTTAAAATCACCGTTAATTGATAATCAATTAAAATAGGAATAGCCTCCAAGAAATCATGGTCAAACGGGTACTAACTACCTAAAATATGAAATTTCCATTGATTCTAAAATCAAAGGCCGACATAAAAGCGCACAACAAAGACAGCAAAAACAAAAATACTTCTATCATATTTTTATTCTATTTTACCTTTCTCGATCATCATAGCTCTTATTTTACGCAAATTATTTAATATTTTTGAAAATGCTATTTTTTGGTCTTATATAATAATATTGTCATTGCCATATTAATCAACAGAGCGATGCATACTTCTCATTTGTTCTTATAGATAAGATTATTCAGCGAAAATACTGAATATTAACATATGAGAATAGAAGTTAGCTGACCATTATTCTTCAGTATTATATAACAATGTGGAGGAGATTGTCTGCATTTATACAATTTTAACTAACTTTAAACTAAATAATTAATCGTTACGTTTTCGGGCCGAACGTTGGCAGATTGTATAACGCTATGAAATATTTATGTATACAACGTATACGCAAATCAAGAAACCAACTGTATGGAATCAAGCAAATGGTACAAATATTAGCCTAGTTTTATCCAGACCATTCATCAGATTCAAGGGATTTAAAGACTTTATTTACTGATCACCGCAGATATAAATGCCATTTGGGAGAAATTAAATTACGTAATCGTAAACTCGTTGAACATATATTTTGTATAACTAACTTTCGCTTTAAAGAACAGACTCTAAAAAAGCCTTACCCCAGATAATTCTCATTTTGAAAAATAATGTTGCTAATTCTAGCTAAACTGCATCATTAATATGGAATACATCCAATAGTGGTGTTGATATTACAATATTTCAAAATCCATGAGTAAGCGGAAAATGCAATTTAATTTTTGCTTCTTCTGGAACCGTTCCTCTAATGTAAACTAATAAACAGCTGAAAACCCCCAATTTAACTAATTTCCTCATATTTATATGCATGTAACCCAATTTCCTAATAGGTCAGTCACAAGCTAACAATTTCAGTTATGGTCCCAAACGAATAGCGTTATAAACATCGTCCTTTAAATAGCCTATAAAATTGAATTTTATTGCTTAGAAGAAGTTGCTCGGTTGTATTAAATGTTGTACGCAATCATAAAGGCATTTTATGAGATTTTCCAGCCGCTTTGGCACCACTAACATCGATTACAAAAGCTTAAATGAAATTGTGTTGAGCCGCGACATCTGCCCATAAAGCTGGAAACAGTCAACTCTCTTCTATCCATACTCTTTCATTGATATTTTGGATTTTATATTCGAGGTATATAGAAATTCAATAACAATCTACGARGCAATGGCGAAGGCTTTTTTAACAGCTGTAGTCTCTCGGGCGTAGAAAGTAGCTAAATTTWTYTTCTCATTTTWTTTATATTATTCTATCGSCAATGTCCGSCTRGTCAGTGTTTCATWAATAAAAATAGAAAAATCAAAATTTTAAKCAATTCAGMTACCATTTTATCATATAAAARRCATACWAATAAATGAAAAATATTTTTTCATTGCTTTGAATGAATATTGAGCGGTCCATTTTAGCATAGCGAAAAAGTTAMCGTGCACCATCTAGTCAGTGCAACCAAAATCTTCAATTTTGATCTCGTTAAATTCCTTAATAAAATGAACCGTTTTAGAAAAAAMCGCTATTATGAAAATATACTTAATGTGATAGTGAAACAGAAGGAAAAATAATACATAAAAAATKATATGTRTTTATATGATATATTGTTTTTTGTAAAAAATTGCTTATWYTAAAGATAGGGCTTGCACCCCATTCGGTCCTAAATGGCTATTGACATATTGTATTATATCCCCTAAAATGTTATATAGAAATAGATAATATAACCAAATATAGAAATAGATAATATAGGGCCCATTAGATAAATAATCCATACCAAAAAATATAGACAATTAAAATAAAAAATTAATGTTTATATAAATTATATGTTCACTCCTTAGTTAGTAGAGTTAAAACTCTACTATATTTCAACATCTTTATGTCGCATTTTGTAAACGAATTTAAGCAGACAAAACATCTTAAGTGTGACTGTGTTCAAGTTTATTTCAAACTGCGCAACTAATTGAAGAAAATTGACACAATTTGTTTGAACCTATATAAGTAGTTTTGCTCAGTTGAAAATCATGTTGCATATTTTCTTCCATCCTCAAGAGTTACCAGTTATAAAATTAACCATGCATATTTTTATTAAAAAGCTCTGATCGAAATATGAATTATTTGAATGAAATATGCCCTCTTTTTTCAAAAACGTTTACTTACAATCATTTGAATGCACTCTCACATACAAACAATAGTTAACCCAATTTAGTGCTTTATTGGCCAAGAAACTGTATCGGTAAATAATTTGCAGAATTTGGTGTTTACTTATATATAATTGACTTTGATTCTTTTCACATCTCCAATTAGAAGTTGTGTCATAAAAGCTCCGTCTCCAATATTGCAGTTAATTGCTAGTTTGTTTACCTTGATTGAATTGATAAATTTCAAAAATAAAGCTGCAGAAGCATATTACTATGTTTTTGCAGCTTCAATCTAACGCTGCTAAACGAACTTTTCTAAAAAAATACAATTCTGCTTGTGTTAAACGCTAAATGTCTGAGTAAAAATGTTTTAACATCGTGATAATGTATTTTCATATCCTAAAAAATGTCAGGCCAATAATAACGGCCAGACCTATGTTGACATTTTCCGCGGTTTTTCCGATAACAACGTGAAAAGCATAGCGGAAACTCGAAAGTCTAGTCAGCGGACGCGACGCGACGGCTCCTTTTGCTTGTATAGGAGTTCTGGAGCCAGACACAGACTTATAAACAGAATTAATTGACGTAACGACACCTTGTACAACCCAGTAAGCAATTTTTCTTCGAGATTAGCAGTTCGTTAGTTTTCCCGGCAGGCTTATTTAAAAACAGGCAAGCTCCAAAGCACATTAGAAAAATGTTTCAAAGAAAAACAGTTAATCGAATTAAAATTCTTCAATAAGGAAAAATCGAATATTAAAGTGCTATAGCCTATAAAAAGTAAAAGTGGCAGTAAAAGTTGGTTCCGGTCAATCAAAAAGTTTTTCCTCGGTTCCGGTCAATCAAAAACCTTCATTCTTCTAACTAAACTAATATTAGTTGTAAATTTGCTTTAATAGACAAACATTTCCTTCATTGACATACACTCTCATTTATAGTATATTTTAATGTGGCCTCACGTGTTTGAAGCAGCAGCATTAATGTGAATTTTGCCAATTAACATCTAATAAAACACAGTTAACTATGTACACATTTACATTCCAAACGAATTTGTAACATTTAAGGTCGATTTATATCAGCTCAATTTTAGTCGTCATACAATATAATCTCTTGCAGTCAAATTTCCTTTTTGACTATTTAGATTGAAATATTATGACTTGCCATATGTATTAACATTCAAATCGTGTTTTAAATAATTCGTCATAATCGATGTAAAATCGACAAACGTCGACACCAAATTAATGTGTTTTATAATGATAATTCATTAAATAATGATATGGACAAAAGCAGCAATATAGAACAAACACTTAATCCAAATACACCAATCAACCGCTCTTAAGGCTGACTTTAAGGCTGAATTTGAATATAATTTCAAATTCACTTGTCCAAAACAAGCATAAAAAATGATGTCCTTGCCATTCCCTGAATCCATAAATATATACGCAATGTTGTTTACACCATTTTAACTTGCCCTTCAAATGTACTTTTTCCATTTACATTTTCTCAATTCTCTCATAGCATTCACCGCGTAAACTTCGTTCACGCATTTTCACCCCTTTTCCCGGAGAAAAGGTAGTCGAATCACTTAAGAAAGCCAATCGATTTTATTAGTTCGTGCATAACCTTTTAGAGTATGAAACACCTTTCCTAATTGCTTTACACATTAGCTCCTGACATTTTAAACTGTTAACATCCTCTTGAGGATACCATTTTTGACCTTTTTACGTCTAAAGAATTATCTTTTCATTAGGTGAATAAAATTAATTACTTACAGTTTGGTATTTATTCTCGGGGGCATTCAAGTTGATAAACCGCGGAGGAATTGGCTTCTTGTCATCTCGAAATGGTGATTTATCGTATGGGGATCGATCTTCTGGCACTGCTTTTCGTATAAACACTTCTTCAGTATCCATATTGTATTCCAGTTTTTCGTAATGAGACTCTTTCTCCTGATGATCCTGAAGATACTGTTCACAAGGGCGCTCTTGGGAGTCCTCCACATGACCATGGAAATCTCTGCAATTTAAAGAATGTTTAATCCAAAAATCTAAACATATGTCGACTTAATTTGTTCGATAGGTATCTGAGCTATTTACCTGTGAATTCCCTGGGAATCAATAAAGTGCAATTGATACGTGTGAGGAATGCCATGAGAATCCAAATACTGTCCGGAATCCCTCTTATGTTCCTGTTCAGCATGCTCATCGAAATGATGATGACTGGGAGTTGCGGGAAGGATGGGATAATGTTGGGTAGAATGTCCTACAAATATGTTACAATGTTACTATATTCAATGCATAAGTTATGAATTTTTATTATACCGAATTAAAATGGAAACTCAAACGCGTTTTCTCATGAATATACAGCTTTGAGGTTTAAAGTGTGTGCCAAATAACAGTAGAACACGTTTTTTCTGTTGATTTATTGATAGAAATGATGCATAAGGGTGCCAAAGGAAGGTAAAAGTTTTCGAATTTACGTTGGTGACGAGGTAGTGGTACATTAAAAAGGAATGTGGAAAGTTCATATATTACTCATACAAAACTCAATAATAACGGAACTACAGAGCCTTAAAGTTAAATTTTCAACATTGCGTTTTTGCTAGTGATATTACTGTTGAAAAGTTGATATTTATCTCCTGTTAAAATGTTGAAAATAATTTAACATGCGTTACTCCAGACTGTACAAGACAATTTTAAAAGCAGATTTCTTCGAAAGGCGCACATCCTAGAGAGATGTGGCAAGTAAATTTTTTGTACGTAATTTTGAATTCTATTTAGTTTTTTGAAATGGTATACTAGAAAAAGCGCAAAATAAAAAAGTTTGCTTTATTAAGTAGATTGCAAGGCTGTAGGGATGGTCGAGATTTAACGTAGCCGCTAAAATATCAGTGTTCCAGACGTGTAACCCGGAACCGCAGTTACACTTTTCCAATTTAACCGGTTGTTTTTGGAACCGTCTCGTAAACCCGAAAAAGTAGTTCGCACCAGCACAGAACCGTTGCGGCAGTTTGAGTACCCATTGGTGAATGGAAAATATGTTTAGTTGCTGGTTGCGTTGGTGATTATGTATATCACCTTTTGTCTGTAAGGAATACTGTTCAGTTCTACAGAAACCATAATCGGTCAGTTCAGCAAAATATGCGGTGATGATATAATTAAGCATTTTTAGTCTATCAGTATCACTGTTTATGTGGATTATTTGATTGTTGACTTAATAACACGCGTAAATAATTCAAATGCTATCACAAAAACTGTGGTGCGTTATCAATCAGAGGAAGTCTAGTTAAAATATAGACAAGAACAAGACTATTCAATTTTTCAAGAATTTGATAAACTTGTTTCATAACAAAAAACACAGGTATATTAGTACTTCTGTTCCATGCGAGAGATTATTTTCCAAAGTGGGTGCGTAAATCATAAACGAGCGAAGAACTGGACTTGAAAACTAGACTAAAAAAAAAGACTAGTGAAAAGCATTCACAAGAAATTATTCTTAAATGTTACTTCATATTTAAATAAAAATTAGCTTTTTAAACATTTTCACATGCACAGCGTATATTTTATTTAAACCATTCGATTTTATTATTAGTTTTTTTCCTTTCGGTAGTTTCTTTTGACCCATGTTTTGTTTTTCTTTAAAGAGTATATTATTTTTAGTTTACTAATGCTAACAATTATTTTTTTAATAAACTAAATCATTATTTATTATCACTTTTTCTACCATCATCATCATCATCATTGCGAATTTTTAAGGAAAAATTTGAAAAGTAACATGTTATTTTTGGAACCGCATTTCGAAACCAAATATCAAAGGGATACGGCAACGTTGTAACCTGTTCCAGAAAATTAACCTTTTAGCACACCTCTACAAGGCCGAGTTCAACCCCTTAGCAATGAACACCAGTAACAGGGGTATTAAATTTTAAAATAGTCGAATAACCAACAAAAATGTTATTTGAAAACTTTTTTAGACTAACTTTAACGCCCTGTAGATCAGTTATTATTAAATTTTAAAGCTTTTATTCAAGTGTTATATTCATTTATCACACTCATTTTTGCTATAGAATCTCGATAAGTGTTGGATCCACCATTTCCGAATACCCTGTATAAGAGCAGTGTGACTGAATCCGACTTTTAACAATTTACAGTTTTTCGGACTCAGCTAGTCGAGAGGTAAGTTTTAGCGAAATTATTCACAAATTTTAGTGATGCCCCTAGAAACTAGAAGAAAGACTTCCGTCTTCTAATGAAACCCGCTAAAAACTATTGTATGGTGTAAAAACACTACATATGATTTAATTTTTCAAAACGTAAACGCTCGGGCACTGCGATTTGTTCGCTGATGCAGAAGTGCTTGGAACCTCAGTTGGAAAGTTCGATCAAAATTTTTAAAATTATATATTATAAAACCGGTTAAAAATAACTGGGTCTTGGTAAAAACAATTTATCCGCAGCTTCGTAAAGGTAAGAACATTTTTAAATAATTAATATCTTGAACCAGAAGGCGGCGACCGATTTATTTTAATTTAAGAGTTCGAAAAATATTTTCGGAAAAGGCTTTTCCGAAGCAGTCGAAAGTAACTCACTAGTCGTAATAACCATTTTGCCGTTTCAAAGGGTCACAAAAAGCTTCATATTTGACGAAAATTATAATTTTATGCACGGATTTAGTCTCGATGAAGACCATTTCAATAAAATATCTTGAGAACCAGCAACTGATTATTTCAATCAGTCTCATTAATAAATTTCTCGGAACTTAAGACATACCAGCAGAGCGCGTTGATTATGAAATAAGCATTAAGAAATATAAATTTAGAAGAGGAAAAGCTCTGAGATTTGTATAGTGTACCTCAAAGAAAACCAAAAAGGTGTAAAGAATCCAGTTCTCAGACACGAACAAAAATACTACAAAAATAACTATCAGAGCCATCGATAAAGCGCTAGGTCAGTTTACTAAATGATGTGTTTCGCCGTCATAAATCAGAGATGAGGGCTCCAAATGTGTTTACAAACAGTCCATTATCATGAGATTTCGCTATGGTATCAGAAATTCCAATAATAAGAAGACAATAGCAGTAAGAAACTGAATAGATTGAACAAAATCTAGAAAATAAAGACGGCTACAACCATTCACTTAAATCTATGCTAGTCTAATGTGTTCTAATTCTAATGCTATAATGCTATAATGCCTAAAAACTTGTTTGGAAGAGTGAAAAGTTATTGGAAAACAAATAGACAGATCCAAATTAGAAGACTCTGACATGAAAAGTCAGCTTCAAAGTCTTGATTTAGCAAAAACAGGCAAGAAGATATAAATGGAATAAAAACAATATATGGAGACAAACAAAAAGTCAAACGCTTTCAAGCTTATTCTCATGGAGCCAACAAAAACCTGACCACAAAGAGACTCAAACGGAATAAGCAGCAGTAAATCATAGCAAAGAAATTTAACGATCCAACCGAATCCAATAAATGAAAACAGCAAAAGAAAACCTATTAAATAGAAACTCATTCGAACAGAATTAAATCTAAAATGAAATTGGCAAAACCAGGATTATTTGAGAGAAAATGACGCGCTCTTTATAACGTCCGAAGTCTACTATGGGAAGTTTGTACAAAAAAACAGATAAAGCCAATGAATTCTAAAAGCTACAAGATACAGAATGTTTAGTCTGGCTCTGCTGTGTCAGATGCACCCTATTATGCGAGGAAATCGATAAAATGTCTTAACGAGGATTTATTCCCTCCTGCAGACAGTTTATTTGAGAGCAGCACTTTAGAGCCATTGAGCTTGCCAATCCGAAAGCTGGCAACTGATAATGGAAAGTAAACTATTTAGTTTATGTTTTATAAAAGCAAAGTAAACCAAAACCCATTAAAAGATCGGTTCTTCTGCTCTGCATGGTTTTGCACCCATGCTTTTTTCAATGAACGGGTCTAAAACCACTAATAACTCACCCACAACAGGCAAATATATCTTGCTGGAAAGTTTCTCTTTCAACGAATGATCCTTACTGCATTGTTGATGTTCAATAACTTCCTTATATTTTTCGAGTTCTTTGTGATGTTTATCATATTCTTTATGTTGCTTCTCGTGCTCTTTGTGATGCTTATCATGTTTTTCATGGTGCTCCTTATGGTGATGAGGATGAGGAATATGATGATGAGACGCTTCTATCAGCGTGGGCTGAATGTGGGTGACAAATTGGGCCATAGTTGCAAAATCTGAACGTTATTTGAAATGTCACATTATAAACCTGAAACAAAAAATGTAGTTATATTATTATTGTTTAATAGTAATCATTGGTTTTAAAGTTTATTTATTGCTTAAATTAGAATTTGATCACGAACTGAAGTTTCATTTCCATTCTGTTAATTTTTGTCATTCATTTTTGAGAGAAAAGGCTGCTAAAAATTTGCAACTTCCGCATTTTTTTAAATGAACATTTGAACATAAGTGAGTGCAAATTTTGCCTCTCACATTGGATAAATGTTATTGCGCTACACAATTATACTTAGATATATTTCAGCCGTTTTAATTGTTGACGGACACTACACATTACTAAATTTAATTATTGTACGCGACATGATATTTTTAGGCTGGAAAATCCAAACTGAACGACGTTGATGATTTATGATTAACAAATTAAATGTGAGCGAGTCAGTCGAGTTGGAAAAATATTTTTATGTTTATTTTTATCCAAGTGAAAAACTTCAACTGGTAAAAATTGAAACAAAAATATCTCAAGTCAAAGTACTATTAACCTACGGTCCAATCTGGCAGAGATAATTAATTTTTATTGCGCCTTAAAAAAAACATCTGCAAACAATATTTTATCCGGAACTGCCTAATTGAATTTCAAAAATATGTTTAAAAGTGTATCTGCCTATTACTACTGTACACCTTTACTACAACAGAAGCGATAAGTTAATACAATAATTTTTCGCACGCATAACAATTACACAAGAAGTAAGTTTCCACTACATCGAAATGCTTTTCAAAAATTATTAATATTGAGCTTTTTAACCAGATTAAAGTCACTATTGAGCTTAACATCAACTAACGCACTTACCGCTTTTATACAACCCACCCTTTCGCCGTAAAATACGTTTTATAACACAAACCGACTCCGAATTTTCTAAGCCAATAAATAAGTTCAATACGCTCAACTCAAAAAACCTCTTGATTGTCTAGAATTGAGAGTGTGAATGCCTTTCTAAAGCTCAGCAATCGACGGCTCGAGTTGCTCTGCTCAGAAGCTGTGGGCGGACAAAACAGAGATCCGGAAAATGAGTTTCCCGCCCAGCGATTTCCCAAGGACTAGTGGCTTTTAGAGGCTCAATATGGAAATTTTGCTTTACTGGTCTTGGATTCAAAAATAACTGAATAAATTTCATTATTTTTAACATTGTCTTCAACCGATATTAAAAAATATATTCTAATGATAGTTAAGTAGAATGCATATGCCATATTTTAACTAATACATTAGACATCGACAAAGATAATTGATATTCGAAAAATCTGAAGATAAATTGAATTTTTTGCAATTCATATCAAAATATCTGGGATAAATAATGTACTATTTTCCTTGTTCCGTTACATCAGTTTGGAGATCAATATTTTATTAAGCAACATTAGGAAAATCGTAGATAAATCGTTTCCAAATTGGTATAGACCTGAATATTTTAGTTGCGTTTCCGGTTAGATTAGAAAGTTAAATTAATCGTTTCATTTTGCTGAACTTCTTAATTATTCAATAATTTACCTGTAATATGTATAATGACAAATAATACATAATTGCACAAAAATGTCGTGTAGGTCGTAATACTAATAATAATTAATATTTTTATTTTAGTGATATTGAAAAGTTTCATTAAACCAATCATCACATTGAAAAAAATAGTTAAAACTATAGAAGAAATTGTGTTGTTTCTAGATAGCAATTTAATATGATATGAATATACGTAAAATTAAAATGTATATGAAGGTAATATTGTTTATTTCACAAAGCTAACGACAGTAGTTTGATCGCCATGACAAAGCTAAAATAATCGGTAAAAGCGATTTAACGAAATCTCATACAGTTGTGTGAAATTATTCCTAAAAGTGTTTTCGTTCCTTTTAATTCTATTAAAAATGCAATTTAGTCTATTGTTGTTTTTTTGGTTCATACGTATCAATTTATTTAGAAAGTATTTGAACAATATCGAAACTATTAATTATCAAGGCTGCTAAAAAGGCAAAAAACGTTTTGAAACTTTAATGATTTTCTCGATAAAGTTAACGATATATCCAGTTCCCTTCGAAAGTGTTCATTAAATTAATAATAGACGGTTCGGTTAAGTAAACGATCAACTATGATCAGTTCCATAGATTTTTCCACTCATTTTACATTCGGCTTCTTACGGTTGGATACAACTCGTTACCTTTAAATGCATAATTAAGATGCAAAAAACTTTAAAACACACCGGGGCGTTTAGTAAGGCAAGCCTGTATTTTCACAGTCATTTTCCAGTTAATCAATACAAAGTTTGGCAAATCCGAAACGGGGGGAAAACAATTTTGGTAATCGCCAAATCGTGTCTAAGGGTTGAACCCCTGGATTTGGTGGAAACGATTCGATAGTTCTTTCTGGATACATTTGTTTCCTGGGGTTTTAGCATGCGTGTTACTTTGCACTAAAACATGGAAAACCCGAGTGAAAATCGGAAAGCCAAGACTTGAATATAGATTGCACAATAATTGTTCGTGAAACAGATAGTTTTGCAAATTTTAAATTGACGATTCACGCTATAAAGGTGACTGATGCCACACAGCTAAAACACCAGTGAAATCAGTATTTCAACAAAATCGTCATTTTTAGCGCATTTTTTGCATAATTCCGTACATTAGTTTTATACGATGCTACATTAATTAAATTGAATAAATACAGCAATCCATTCACTGAACAAAAATATAATACTGTGAGAAGAAATTTAATAATCACATTTAAATTTTGATACGCCCAACTATTCCGCATTCCCTAAAGTCTGTTCACTGTTTCCATGTGTTGTTTTGCTTCAGCCTAATGGAATTAGTGCACTAAGCTTTCAATTCGATAAAGTGGCAACGTGACCTTTAGATTTATATAAATAAATAACAGAATTTCACAATCCTTAATACTAACTGCTTTTTTTTAATTTTATCTTAATCCTCGCACTTGTCAAACAAAAATATGAATCACTTGAACAAAATTATTAGTCATTGTAACTGAAAATTTAAATGATACAGGCAGATAGGTTGTTAAATAGCGAATTACATTACGATATGCTTGCAATTTAATCAAATTGTTCAGTTCAGCCAATTTGCAGGATTACAACAATTGCAATTTCTGACGACCATTGTGCAAATGTGTTGAAAAACAAAAAGATTGTCGCTTTTTTAAATTCAAAGACCACAAAATATGCGTCAAAAATAGTGTCGTAAATATTTACATTCCATTAACTCTACTATCTCTATGATTTATTGGAGGATAATGAAAATTAATTGCCGTTTTACAATTCCCCAAAAATTCCTATATTATCTCCTCCAGACGCAACTATTGCAACTGACACATTGCCGACAATCGGATATTTTTCAGGGGTCCAAATAATTTCTTAATCACTCAAATTAATTTAACATTTAATTTATATACACTTACTATTGAGATTTGGTAAAAATATCAACAAGTAAGGTGTAAATTTACGGTAATTGTTGAAGATTTTAGTGGACAAAGTTAAATAACGAATATATTAATTAATTAATTGATCTGTCTGCTGCTTTCTTTCACTTTGTTCTTATTTTTCAAGTTCATAAAGGAATAGATACTTAGTAGAATTGATCTAGAGCATCAAGTTTTGCGTAGTAGACTTTTACATCTTTTATTCTACTCTACTCTACCAAAAACGAGACTTTCGATTAATTCAGTTAATAGTAATGAACTTGATAGGTAGAATAAGGAGAAGTCGTCGGTTAAAGATCGTGAACGCTCAGAAAACGCATAAAATGAACTGAAAATATCGCTTATTTCGAAGCTGAAACTTTTAGCGTGTTTTTCCATTAGTTTCGTTGCATTCCTAGCTTCCTTCAGATCACAGTGATGTAGATTCGATAGAAAAAATCGACCCCCACCCTTAGAAAATTTTCGGCAAAAAGTGAAATTTTAGCTTGTGTGTTTTTTGCGCTCAATCGATTCATTTCGCTTCAAGAAGCTCACAAAAGTGCATTTATAGTGTTTGGATAAATAATGAGGAAGAAATCGTCGCTTAAAAATCGTGAATGCTCGTGAAAAACAACGCCTAAAGTGTACCGAAAATATCGATTATTTCGGAACTGAATCTTCTGGTGTATTTTTTAACTAGTGCGTTGAATTCCCCCCTTCCTTTTGATCACAATGATGCAGATTTGAATGCATTTTTAAATTTATATTTTTTCAAAAAATCGACCCTTAGAACATTTTTGACAAAAAATCAAAATTTTACATGCGCGGATTTTGCGCTCAATCGATTCCTCTCGCCTTAAGAAACTCACAGAAGTGCAAGTATGATATGCAATAATCAGGAAGAAATCGTCGCTTAAAGATCGTGAATGCTCTAACAACGCCGATTCCTCTCGCCTTAACGAGATGCTTACAAAAGTAGCTTCATTTTTTCAGCCTTAAACTAATGTGACGCTGCAAACTTGCAAAAACTTCCATAGGTTGTGTACTTTTCAACAAAATCTAAAATGTTAAAAGGAATAAATTTGATCCTTTTCGCCGACTTTCAAGCTTCCTTTCTTTCAGACCTCCCTTGTTTGTCTCGGTTTTGCCACAATAAAAGCAATTTTACTACGGATTGTATAGAAAATGAATATCGAACGGACCAAATCAATAAATAACCCATCGAAATCTTTATTAGCAGTTCACGGTAATGTACAAGTCTATATTGTTATCCCCGCGAGCTGACTCCTACTTGACGCTTGTTCCCTTATCTTATCGACGTTGCGTTTGCTTTTCTCTCAACAAGTGCCGGATAAAAATTGATTAACACTTCACTACCATATAGCATTTATTTCAGATTTTTTACATATCTGGATCCGAAATTTGTGCAAATTTATTTAACCGTGGTGATGTACAAAAATCTTTAAATATAATAAGCCATTGGATCAGTTGCTGAATGGAGCAAGTTGGAGCTTGAAGTAAGTTTGTTTATTATTTTGATAGATTTTTCGCTTTGAAATCGATTAGTTTGTCGCACATTTCCAAACAGTTTAGAAGGTCGGGAGCAACAGCAAAGTGTACTGAAAACTATTATTGAAATAACGCAAAATTACAAAACAATCAAACACGGAAAATTTGCCTGATACCTGATTGATCAGCGGGAAAATGTGAACGTGATGGTTAGCAGGTGAATGCAAATCTGTTGCTGTTTACATTTACATAAATCATGCCGCATTTAACATAATTAGACATTTAAATTGAAAATCGTTCTAGGCAATGTTTCCAGTTTTGTTCTGTTAACTCAGACGCTAATTTTATAAATATCAGTTGCTGATAAAGATTGGCAATATTCAAAAACTTTCAAGAATATGACTTCTGATTGAGATTCAAGAGGATTCGAAATGTTGATATGAGTAAATTGTCGATAATTAACTAATTAGTAAAATTTTAAACCGCGAAGCGACTATCTTTCAAGCATCATACCAGCCCCAGCGCCTCATTCCAGAGATATGTTTCGCAATTATTTCCTAACCCAGTATGTTTATTTGTTGTTGTTTCCTTATCTGGAAATACTTTCTGTTGTTGATTTAATTGCAATTAATTTAATCTTATTCACACGATTTTATGCATCGGGCCATTTATTGAAGTTTGTAGGTATCAAAATTGAATTTGGAGAATCTAAGTTTGATCTTTCTCTTTAAATTCTGTCTTGTATTAAGCTAGGTATATAAAAGAAACCTAGATGCAGGCGCCTATACATTGCCCATCAGGAAACAAAGTTGATTATAATGCAGTTAATACTGATTGATTGTTAGAAAGCAACTGCAGAACGATCTTGAGGATTTGTGTCAGACCATGCCGCAAAAATATAAGCAATTGAAACTGAAGTGGTTCAGGTGGCAGTGGCGTTTATATACAAATATGAAACACATTTTACCTAAGATTTAATACCATGATAAAAGCATGTTTGAAGAAAAAGTTTAGACTTCCACGAAACGACACACTCGGAAACTAAATGAGAGATAATCTACCGCTTTTACATGAAGCCATTGTTTGTAAATTTAAAAATACGGGTAATATTAACGTGCCCACAATCCCATCAAAAACTGTATTAATGTATAATGTTTTCTGAATAAAAAAAATTTAATACCATACAAATGGTATTATTCCATGAGAAATCCAATATCATCAATACCTAATTGCTATATTGCTGAATTTACAGGTGTTCTTTCTTGTAAATAAATTAGGATTCGCTTTGTAAAATATTAATATTCACATTATTTATGGCCGAATGTTTTTAGCTTGAAACTGAAGTTGATTAAAATGTTATATGCTCTGCCGAATGATACTATCAACTATTGACCATCTTCAATTCAAACGTTTGGAATGAGATTCACATACTTTTACAACTTTTTCGTGAAATCCTCAGAAGTGTCTAATGTATTAAAACTGTAAGCATTACAAGCTCTTTAACTAAATCACTAGAGCACTTACCACTAAATCTAATTAAATATTTTTTATATTATATTAACTATATGATCCAAAAGGTTACAAATAAAACAACAATGTGTGGCGACGTTAAAATTGCGATCCCTGTTTAAAATAATGTTCAAACTCCCCCATTGGCTTGCAATGTCTGCCCATATTTGCAAGAATTTCATTCATTTCTCAAAACGAAGAAAATGTTAACAAAAAGCTTTTTATGTTTTATTTTATTAAAAACTGTGCAATCAAGCACCGCTTTAAAAAAAACGTTAATAATTGATAACCTTTTCAAATAGGAAAATTTCAAACTGTTTCACTTTGTTAAAGAACAATTCAATAATTGCAAATAAAATAATACTAATAAACTGATAATAAATAAATAAATACATACCGTACCATCGGTCAAATAACTAGCCGTTGTCAATGCAGTAAAGTTTTAATCGGGAATACCCTAATCGGTAAACCAATTTTTTCACTCAAATAGTAATCGAACAATTCGTTCATGAATAATTTTCTCAGTAAATTGACTTCTGAAACTATCTCTCAACCAAAATAGAAATGATTACTTAGTTTGTGTTTCAACTGACTAGAATTCGTAATTTTTGAAGAAGTGCATTGAAAAGATTTTAATAATCACTGATATCAAATAATATCAAAATAATCACTCATACTGAATATATTTTCAAGGTTTCAAGGTTTTTTACAACAAAAATAGTAAATTTAGGTCAAGATAACGCTTTTTTTTAAGTCATGTCCAAGAAACTGATAAAATCAAAATAGTGTCATGAAACTCAATATAAAAACTATACTCAAATTTGACGCTAAATTTGGTAACAATTTTTATATTAAATTTCTTAAAGAGAGTACACACTGCACAACTTATCGCAATGAGAGACTTGTTAAGTTTATTTTTAAAATTTGGTCAATTAATCGATTTTTTTGCAAAAATGGAGTAAATCGTCGCAATAATCTAAAGATAAAATATTCCGTCTGATTTTCGAGTTTAAAAACGGCGGAAAAATCTGGTTGTATTTTTTTTATTTAACCCGCAAGTTCTTCATGGCAAGGAAACTTTGTACTTTCCCTTAGGCGCCGAACGTTAACACTTTTAAAAGTGATGCGATAGAATATTTATTTGCTCTTGGTTATGTGGATGATTTCTAATTCTTCCGAAGTTTTGCATTTCCTGGCTCGTCATTAGACTTGAATCGCTTAAATCGATTATTCTGACGCTATTGAGTTTTAGTTTTTCAATTATATTTTAATATAATAGAAAATGTGCTACGTAAATTCAAGTTTTCGTTTTCCTTAGTTTTCAATGGTGATTCGGAAACTGTATCTGCTTCTGTTAGAATACGTTTTGAGTTTCCAAGCCTCTTCTTAAACTCTGCGCCTGAGTTTTGTGATCTTGTGATGTTTTAAACTTGTATCTAGCAGCAAAAAAAGCATAAAAACAAAGCTGAAAACTGTTCCATTTTCATAAAAAGAAGTAAATTTTCAGGGGTGTCCATGCAGCTAGATTTTTTTCATGTCAACTTATTCAACAAATAATTCAATTTCATAATTTTTTCGAGCGTACCTACTTAATAGGAATAATAGGCCGGATCGGCCGTTTTTTCACCTATTTTAAAATGAGAGTTACTACAGCAATTTTCGTATTATATGGGAAGTTTTGTGGTTTAGGACGGCGTAATTTCGAGTAAAAGCGCAACAGTTGAAATTCTTTACGCGTGCAAAATGTTGATCCATTCCATAATTGTTTCCTATTTACTATTTCCATTTTGAAATACGTACTTTTAGTAATCAATACATTGCATACATTTATTAGTAAAAATCTACTTTGCATCCAAAAATTCAGCATTTTGACCAGCCCTCAATAACTATTTTATTTTTCGCTCAAAAACATTGTCTTGAACCGGAAGTTTCAGAGCTTTGTTCTTACTGAAAATCTTAGTCATTCAATTTTTAGAGAAAAATCCATAAATACTTTCCACTTTGTGAAAAATCAATGGCAGGCAGGCTTTTTCTACAAAAATATCCTGTTCTGTGTCTATACGGGCGCCAATAGTACAAAAAATAGTGTTTTATTGTAAAACATTTTGGTCCAGTGGCAATTAACGTTCATTTCATTCAATAATTCAAATATATTTAGTCGTTTAGCAACAACGAATATTTTCATACGAAAGTTGAAGGAAGTTTTGCAGTTCTAATGCTGAATTTTTTGTCGCTTCTGACGCTATAGAACTTTTCATCTTCTAGGAAACTTTTATAAAACTGGTGGTCACAGACTGCAGATTTTTTTTCAGTTTTTAGAGTCTGGAAACTTTTCTAGAGTCCGAGATTGGCTTTGGCTCTTCTGGGCACTTGCAGCTCAGATTTATGGTTTCTTATAAAACCTTTTCTTTCGCACCACTAAAATGTTTGGTTTTTAGTCCTTAGAGTGTTACGATGTGGCACTGATCAATTTGCTGTTGAAGTTCATTGTAATCGAACATCGACAGCATACAAATTCTTCGGTGTCCTAAGAACATTCGGAGATTTCTTCTTTAAATGTATGAGAATTTTAATGTGATTCGTATCATTTAAAGGAAAAACACTTGAAGCGAAAATATCATGCTCACGCAGCACAAAATTATTTAATCAGGGATAAAGCGAAGTCATTAACAGAAGTTTGAAATGTTTTTTTTTAATTATATGTTACAAATTAAAATGTACGTGCTTTCAAGCAGAACAGTGACTCATTTAGTCAGAGTAAATTAAATATATTGTTGTACCTCTTATCTTGCCTGATGCTTATTGTTACCTGTGAACTATAAACATGCATGCATACTTTGCAATTTCTGCAAACGTAATTCATATTATGTTTAAACTAATACGTTCTTATCAAATCGATTATTAAAACAATAGTGATCTGCAACCGGAAAGAACACAACCGGATTTATCTTTCATTTTGTCAATCGCACTATCTGGAAAAACCGGCGACACACAAGATTTGAAATTTGAACTTTATAACTAGCAGGAACTCCTAGAAACATTATTTACTAAACCACTGTCAGTATTGTCTGCTAAATTTACTATTATTTGGTAAATGCAAATATCTCTCAGTTCCGCAATGCCAGCTCCAAATGTAGAACCGTTCACCTCATCGAACCAAAGAATAAGGAGATCAAACGTTTCTCTTCCTGAACGCGCAACGCCTCTGGAAGCTTTACCGACTACATCAAGAAGAAACACGATTACAGAAGGAAATGGCTCAAAAGTTCGGAAAAAAGTCAAAGCACCTGTTACGCCCAGTATTCCAGAATATGAAGTGACTGATGACAAAAGCATTTCGTTTACGGTGGAAAAGGAAACGAAAGGCGTAAGCAGGTATAGTAAAAAAATATATGCGAACTCACAAATATGTAAATAGTCATGAACTTATAAAGGCAAATATTTCCCATAAACATAAGTAAGTAAATTTGAGACGTTTTATTCTTTGGATTATTTGTTTTTTTTTTTCTTCATTGTCACGGTGTAGTTCTAATATTTTTGGAAAATGTATATTTTCGAAATTTTTATGTAGAAGAGTGATTTTTCTTTTAAGCAAGGTGAAAGTGAACATTTCTACATTGTTACATTGTTACATGTATAATGTCAATCAATTATTTATGACAACATAAACATTTTTACGCAAAATTCTTTGTAAAATAGAAAATTGCAAAGGGATTAAGAAGCTTTAAATTCTAGACAGCGGAAACACACTCTGTATTGTATTTTGGCTAGATTTTCAGTTGACTGACTATAATCTGATAGTTGATATATGTTTTTTCAAACATCATATACCAGCTGAGAGATCACTACATAAACGGATAATGATGTGGAAAAAAAATCTTGATTTCAGCGAAATAATTTCTAGATTTCATATCCAGTCATTTCATATAATTATGACTTTCTTTAGATGCGTCTCATCTTCTTAAAGTAATTTGCTGATTAGCAACAGAAATGCCTATTTGAATATAAAATTTGTTTAACCGCTCAGAAACTAAGCTAGCTGCGATGTTCTAATTTTCTAAGCACCTAACGCAAATTCATGATTAATCGCAATCTAGTACAAATTTAATTGTCTACTTTAGCGCTTAATTCATCATATTTCATCGCATGAGCGATCTAAATTACGCATGGCATTCATAAATATTAGTACATTGTAGCAATGTTTATGAAATGACACATAAGATAATGACGATTTATTTATTATAGGAAAACATCGGATGCTTCAAGATTGAGTGCGGCTAGCAGCAGAAGCAAAATATCCCACAGTTTCGACAACAAAGCTTTCGATGGAAAAGAAGGAAATTTGATTAGAAATGAGTCTGCGAATAATAGCATCAGAACTGATTCTCGAGCTCCTAGTGTTAGAAGTTTAGAGTAAGTACCAAGGATATTATAAGCCGATTGTAAGGGCATTTAAAAGGTTAAACCGTTTGCAAATACAATTTTAGCGTTGGTAAAACCAACACGCTTCTTCTAAATGCTTGGTGGTTCTTTAAATAATACAATAAATTATATCATTTTCACAGAAATCATTCGAAAGAGATCACTCAATTGGTGATAGGTGAGGTGATCAACCTCCTGAGGGAGTAATTTCCATAAGAACCGAGTGTTACATTGTACTTTATCTAATACTAATCGGAACAAATATTTTAAACAAGTGACATAAATACAGGGTGGTTCATAATTGGCCTAATTCCTCTCGAGGTGTTGTCTGGCGGTGTTTTAGAAGTACAGAAAAACAGTAAAAAAATTAATTGCAATTAAAAACTGAGAAATTTGCAAAAACTTATATCAGAAAGACGGCAACAATGTTTTTTCAAGGTAATCTGCCTAATTAACATTATCTAAAACCTGTTGCTTCGTAGTTATTAAAAACTCCGATAACCGTAAAAATACAGAAAGCGAGAATAAAATAGACAAGGATAAACGGTAAATTCAACAGGATTCGGTGACTGTGGAACGTACTTTTTCAAAATGTCAATTATTGTCCTCATAACCTCTAATTGATGTTTACAAATAAACATACAATTGAGTCATTAACGCCAAACAAGTTAGTGCCTGTGTAATCTCCTTATTATCCACTCTTATCGAGCAGCTTCTCGTCCTCGGATAATTAACTCCTGCTCAATTTGTACCGGAGTTTAGTAATCCATTGTTTTAATGTGTCCTTGTGCTGTGTGTATCTTACATACGTGGTAGGAATGCAGCCCTTCCTCGGTATTTGTTTGGTGCCCGGGAAAGTGTCAGTTGTTGTGCTCTGAGTACCCCTGAAATGCTCTGCTGCAATTATGTCAATACTTGTTGCTTTGTGCCTGGAACCCAAACATATATTGTCGACCACTAGCTTCCTGTAGCAAATCTCCAGTGTCTCTTGCCCTTTTTTGGCGTGAGTTCTTACAGCTTCTGCTATGTTACTGTGGCATTTCCCGAGAACTTATCGCATATCCGCTAATTCGTGAAAGGAGCTTCAAAGTAAGTCGCAGTTTGACAAATTATTGACAAATTTATTCTGATTTATTATCCTGACTTCGTGTACTTGTTATGATATTCTTATCTTTCCCGGGTCTCAGTCAAAGTGTGAAGTACAAATTTTGAACATCGTTTATTTCATTACGTTTAGGCGAGATGGCGCCGTAGTCTCGCCGAAACGCAATGAAATAAACGATGTTCAAAATGTTTACTTCACACTTTGACTGAGACCCGCGAAAGATAAGAATATCATAATTATTGACAAAGGCTATCTACCTGTAACTATCTGTTAATTACAAAAACATCTTTGACGCTTTGACTTTACATCAAAAAGTTGTAGAAGAGAACTTTTTAATATCAAAAATTTTCGTAATTTGAAGCAAAGATCGTAATTGTTCTTTCTGAATACTGAAATATTCAATAATGCCAATCAATCATGGGACCATTTAGAAGTAATGCTTAATAAGAAAGTTGAAATTGGATTTTCAGTTCCAAACAGTTAATATCTTCTAGAAATTATTGAAAATAAATGTTTCAATATTATTCTCGTACTCTATAAGTGAACCCCTATTACGCCTTAAAAGGAATTACGCAAATTTTGAATCACCCTGTATATAAATTAATTTGGCTATTTGAAGTTAAATCGTATTGCTTATCTTTGTTGCAAGATAAAAGAAATATTGCTCCAGGAGCTCCATGAAGAGTTACATTTATATTGCCTGGAGTGAAAGTGGTAGATTTTGTAGAACGAAATTCGTATGTACGTTTCAAAAAGGGATATAATTTGCTATAGTGTTCATAATAAAACGATTATTTTTTATAGCGTACTTCATACCCCTGAGTAATATACTCAAAGCGAAAATGGCTCGTATTTTAAAGATATCTCATCGAAATATACAGAATTAATGATCCCGAAAATTATTTCACATTTTTCATTAGCTTCTGACCCGTAAATGATTTGTACGTGCAAGAAAAGGACGTCACACCAAATTTAATATTTTTCTAAGTAAAATATTTTGAAAAGCGGCAATTTAAATTGATTTTTGTTCATTTTAATAGTGCGTTAATCTTTGAAATTTTGACAAACTAGGAATCACTATTGGTATTCCAATCAAAACAAATTGCAAACAACTCGAAATAATTTGTCAACGTACTTACCTTATTTGACCCACTGCGACAACCATAATTAATCCCTGGTGATTAGTGACCATCACTTTGCCTTTAAACCTCTAAACTGAACACCCTGTCTCTCAACTAAACACACTCATAATGAGTATAACACTGAAAAGTCCTGAATAAAATTTTTATATACTTTGTAAATTTTAACAGAACATGTTGAAAAATCCCAGACTTTCACTTGTATAGCTTGTAAAGTAAGAACAACTCGTAAATTCTATACCCATTATCGAATGCTTGGTTAGAAGCCTAAAAACTAACAAATTTGCTATTTTTTAATTCAAAAGTCCCGGTTCTCAAACATGTTTTGCGATTTGATTATTGAAGCATTTATATATTTTTTATTTTATTTATTTTCTTGATTTGTGGGCACATTTTTTGCGCTATTAACAGACATTTATAAATATTTTTTTCAGGATCTACAGAGAACAGTACTGTTGCTGCGCAAGAAGATCGAAATGCGAAAAATCTCTACTAGTCACTGTAACCGTATTAATAATTATAATAATAGTTCTTGTCATAGTTATAGCAGTGCTAGCTTCAAACAAGCAGTTGCATCAACTCTTCAGCGTAGCAAATAGATGAAGCCGAGCAAGAATTGACGAATAATTGTTGATAAAATCTTGTAAAGGGCTTCAACTAATTGATACCTTTATAGTTTCTTATGCCACTCGAAGAACTCTCCAAAAAAGGGAAATGTGTCTTTGCATCAATATTGGAATTAATACATATATAAATCAATTGAGGGGCATGTTGGCAGAGTCCATTGGAAGCAAACAATATTTCAATAAGCTACTAGCAAGCAAATTTATAAAATTTGATGAAAGTCGATTGACTCATTTATATTTCTATGCTTTGGACAGCAGCATCTGCTAAACAAAGCATTTGACCTTCGTGATATTTACTTCAATTTTTCCCACTTAAAAAAATTGAACTATAAAAAATGTATTAGTATCATTACTAAAAGCAACGCATAAAATTACAAAACTTTAAATAATTTGGGGTGTGGGATGGGATTTGGACTGGCTTGGATTTGTTTTGTACTGTGTACAAATATGTATAAGTATAAGTGACAAAACAGTTTTGTATGTATTTTATAGAATGTTAAACAATGTGTAGGTATGGTTTATTAAAGGTAACCTACAACTTTAACAATCTGGTATTTTCCTTTTTTGGTCAGGAAAAACATTTTATCAACTAGTAGAACCTTGGTTAAAAAACTTATCTTCTTGAAAAATTGATCTGATTAATTGATAAATGATTAAACGGTCGAAGTTGTCTTCCGCGTTCCAATGGTTCTTCGGCCGGAACTGTTGCTGTATTTATACTATATTGTGTCCGTAAAACGGTGGTAGGGATAGAGTGGGGAACAGGAACGCGCGGGGAGCAACGCAATGCTCGCCTGCAGTTCTTGTTTTGCGCACTACCTTCTTCTTTTCTGCTGAAGTTAACTGGAGGTTTGAAAATCTCAGTGGCTTCCCTGGTCAATCTTGGAAATAAGTGATGTATTTGGTCCAAAACGACTGCTTCTATTGAGAGAATTTAATCGCTTCCTCTAAGTGCGTGCTCCGCTACAGCAGATTTTTTGGTCTGTTTTCTGGTGGAAATGTATGCAGAACAGCAGCTTCATGGAATTCTGTAGACTGAACTGGGCTGATTGACGACTTAATTTAATAACATGTATGTTAGAAGAAAATGTGTATTTCTGAATTTTTTGAAATTAACTGGGCATGTAAAAGAGTATGTTTAATAATCGCCCAACTGAGCTATAATTCTGGATAATGCTTTATCGCAAATTTCTTGTTTGAATAAAGTAAATGATTTAAAAAAAAATAGTGAACATATGGTTTCAGTGGTTAATGAGAGACGAAAAGGTCAATGTGATTTTTTTCGATTTTTGCCCGCAATTTTAGCCATTCATGATCAACGTTCTGGTATTTTTTGTCAATAATTAGGTGCCATTTTCTATACAAGTATGCCATGATTATCAAAACGGCGAAAAATGTTCTAAAGTAAAAGTTGCAAAGATCAATAAATAAAGGAAACAAAAAACAGGTAATTTTGACTCAACAAAACACTACAACAAACGGTATTCTCAATTTAATCCTACATAGGCGGCCAACTTCTTAAAACGGGAGTTTTACAGATCAAAAAATCGAATGAGTTTACTTTATAAATCATATTAAAAAAATGCTTTCCCCATTAAATACAGGGTATTAAAGATTGACCAAAATGTTAAAAATAATATTAATTGAAAACAAGTACGTGTATGCACATACACACTAGATAAAATTCTATAAAACTGCTATCTGGTATTAAGTGTGTAGGTAATTCATAAAGGTCGAAAAATACCCGCGAATGAAAAATAAACCCAAACCCCCTTGATATTTTAAAAAGGAAATTAAAAGTATATAATATAAATAAGTAGAAATAATTGAGATGGAATAAAACAGACTAAACTAAAATTGCTTTTTCACGTGGTCATCCACACAGTTAAGTGCTAATATTTCGCTTGTTCTGATTATTTAACGGTTTTGAAACAGCAATTTTAGTTTTGTCTGTGTTAACCTACTTGAATTACGTATGTCGTTTTCGTTTTTGAAATATTTAATGAATGAACACTTGATTGACAAATTTTGGAAATCCGAACTTCCACATAATGTACAAAACATTTTCACTTCGACCGACGAAAAACTCAGCTCGGCTCTGATTTTTAGTAAACTGAAATTCAGTTTCGGATTGTTGATTGAATTTCGGAAGAAAAAAGTCTCAATTTGTCTACACTACTCTACTGACTTATATAACAATAAAAATACAAAATTTTCCAATGATTGTTTTCATTACTACTGCCTGTATGAAACATTTTGAGATAAGTAAAAATTAATTTAGTTTTAACACACGAAGATCACAAACGAAAAATAAGTCTGTGAAAATATCCTACCTTTAAAAAACTTGAAAGTAGAGTCCTTTTACTCTACACCCTGTTATTTTAGTAATAAATATAATGAATAATTTGTTTTTTATTGCAAGTTTGGTTAGAGGCCAGCAACAGAAAAATTATCTGCAAATGAAAAGGGTTTCAAATAATTATGAATTATAATTAATTTCCTCGCACCCATGAATTTCGTGTTTGTAGTTTTTTTTTAATTTTAATTATGCAGAATGTGACCTTCATTATTAAAACATACTAAGAAAATTACAACTTTAAACAACGTGTATTAATTATTTTTTTGCGAACTAGCTATATATAGGCCGATTTACGGGGAAAAAATATAGGCTTAAGTCCCGTATCAACGACGGACCGCAATATGCTTTAAAGGAATCTCAAGATCGTTTATTTCAATCGTAATTGTTTTTGCCACAGAATTCGCCGACGTTCATGTTGTTCGGAAAACAATAATCTAATGCAATGGGGAAAACAATCTAGAATGAACTAGGGCGAAAGGGCAATGTATATCTGGGACGTGTTGTAATAAAGGTCTGTAATTTTAAGTCCTTATCAGTACGACTGTTAATTGATATTTAAAATTTCAACATGCATAGCCGTTATATTATTATTAATGGTTACATGGCAATTCCCAAATTAAAATAGTGTATTGTAAACATTCTTAATTTTCTCATTATTTTCGAATTACTCTTAGCAACAGTCCTAGTCCTTAGTCATAGTCCTATTATGAAAATACTTGCTTGACAAAATTTTGAAAACCAAAATCTGGTTTAATTGTTTCTGTAATTTTGAAACGCGATTATTCGAAAATCCTTGAACCAAAAGCAACAAAGTAGTAACTAGAAAAGTGCCATTTTCCCATTTAAGATTCTCAGGGTGACATCTACCCCTTCTAAGGGGTTGAAACAAGGAGGCTGAAAATATTAATTTAAAGTGTCCCCCTTACAAATAAAATTTACGGGTCTTTCCGAGATTTTTCATATTTTAAACTGCAAGAAAGTTATTAAGAGTGGGAAGTTTTTAAATTGACACCCGGTGTACTAAACTGGGACATGTAAAACAACATCATGTTTCGACCGAAACCTATTTGGTAAAAAACAATTGATTAAACTGAAACATAAACATAAAATAAAGTATCAACGATAATGACCACAAATACTGAGATATAATTCACCAATGAAAGTAGCGCAATTTATCAGAAGTGCTTCGCTAATCGACGCACATAATGCCGATTTGAGTCTGCGGCATTGGACATGGTCATTCCAGTTCGTCAATAGTTTATGTGAAGTTGCCGATCGAAAAGAAAATTGGTTCCGTGGGAATTTTAAATGTAAGTATTCATTAGTAATACATGGAAATGAGCAGTCGACAATCATAAAAAAATTATCACTAGCCTAATTACAGAAGTTCTGTAATTAATTCCTAGAGAAATTGAACGATAAAATAATAATAATAAGTGAAAAATAAAATACATTAGTCCTTGAATAAAATGCACCAAAAACGTATATTCATAGTCCGAATTAAATATCCGTAAACTATCTTTGTTTATTATTATGACCTTCTTACTCGAAATGGTTTAACCCTTTGACACTGTCTTTAATTAATTTTGTTGTTGTGTAAACGTTCTCAGTAAACTTTCGTTTTAAGCAACTATTTTAGGTATAGATTTGTAATATTATATTTGTAATATTAATTGATGCCGGTTTTATGCCTAACAAATAAGTGCACGTTCAGTACAACCAAAGTTATAATTTCCACGCTAACTGGTAAATATTTAATTAGTTGTACTTATTATATTTCCAGTTGTAGTAAAGTTGGACAAAAATTAATGGCGTGAGTTTTTCCAAACTAGACGTTTCGATAAACTCCAACAATTAGCAATAATTTGAGCACTAATTTGATTTACAACCAGCGGCAACTTGAAAGAGAAAGATAATAGTTGTGGTCTTGAAGTTTTACAGAAAGTAAAATAAAAATTTGTAATAAAAAGTTAAAACAGAACGTAAAATAAAAATTAATTAAAATGCATAATAAACGCATTACCTTAACGGTATCGCAAATTATTTAATTCTTTTCAAAATCTAAAGACACTTGTGACACACATGTTTAGAGTTTAGGGAAATTTCAAGAATATTTATTTATGTAAGACTTGGGAAAAAGGCAACTTCTATCATTGAAAAATATTAAAAATCGGTTTTGTACACAATTTAAAAGTTCTAGAATTATTGAAAATTAAGTTCGATAAAAAACTGTTAATCGTTGTTTTGAATTAATCACAAATGTAAATATTATTAAAAATATGTGAATTTTTAAACACTATTTCCCTCTGGCAGGAATTTATGGCTAGTAGCTCAAATTAAAATTTCTACTTAATCAAAATTAAATCAATCGCATTCCATTCAAGGATTTCTCAAATTTGCACGACACTAAATGACACATACATAATATTAATTAATAGTTTATTAATTAACGTTGCAATTTTTTGCAACATTGTAAAGTAATAAATGTTAACTAAATAAGAGTCAAAATATACTGATATGAGTAAACTAATTTCCACCATCATACCCAGTTCATACCACAATACATATTTCATAGAATAATGAACTTTTGCGACAGATTCTGGTCAGATCAGATTTTTTGCGACTTAGAATCTGGTTTGAGACATAATTGTGTAGTAACGAATCAAATGGTTTAATGTTACTTTTAATTCTTTATCGGCTTAGGTAACTAAGGAAGACATAAACCATGCATTTTACTCTCATTGCTTGGAGCACCAGTTTCATTGGTATGATAGCCTGTGTTGCTCCAACCTCTACCACTACATCAACATCTTGGCCTATAACAACACCTCCGACTCCAACAACACCTCCGACTCCAACAACACCTCCGACTCCAACAACACCTCCGCCTCCAAAAAAACGCTGTGGATATGAGGCAAGAAATGTTACTTAAAAAGAAACCTTAACCTTCTAAGATTCGGTAATATTAACATGTTCTAGTCGTGCCATCCAATTACTAAAGGAATGATAAATGTACATATTGTACCACATACCCATGACGATGTCGGGTGGTTAAAGACTGTTGACCAGTACTTCTATGGGAGTAAGTAAAATATTAATTTGATGTAAATTGTCAATAAATTAAATCGGAAAATAATTGAATGCTAGAGCACAAAGTACAGGATAAAAAGCCAGAAATTTAAATTGTG